GAGGAGTGGCTGGTGGGTTTGAACCGCCAGCCTTCTGGTTAGCAGTCAAGTACCTTAGGCACTATGCTACCAGAGCTCCCTAGAAAGGTAGATGGAATAAAAAGAGAGAAGAGTCTTCAGAGTGGTAATAGAGTCTCTTAGACTAAGCCTGATACTACTTTCTCTGGAGACAAAAACTGCAAACTTCCTGTTTAGTGGCTAGCATAGCTGGAGAGTTCCTGGAGGGCTGGATGTAGGCCCTGAGGGCAGAGAACCCTCTGGCTAGCCACATACTCGATCTGGGTGCAGAGCCAACCCAATGCCAGAAAGTTCCACTGAGCTTTCAAACTTCTGCACATGCCGCAGCCTCTACCTGGAATGCCCTTTTTGCCCCCAGCTCCCTTGCCTGGCCCTTCTCCACCTGGCTGATGCCTGCTGACAGCTCAGGACTCAGTTGACGGGTGCCCCCTCATGGGAGCCTTGCCCTGAACCCCCAGAAGTCAACAAGTAATGGAGTATCACGAATGGTGTCACCTCTGCTAGAGTAGCAGAGCATCGTGAACCATGGCCCCAGCTTTAGTCACGCTGTGTGGCTTCAGGGGCTCTGCTGTGAGCCACAGGGGCCTGATTCTAAAGGTGGCCTCCAGATCAAACAATAAGCCAGCGGTCACCGAGCCGACTTAGCTCCTGGCAACCCATGTGTGTCAGAAGAACTGTGCTCCAGAGGGTTTGCAACGGCCAATTTTCCAGAAGTAGACTGGCAGGCCTTTCTTCCAAGGTGCTTCTGGGTAGATTTGAACTCCCAGCCTCTCTGTTCCCAGCTGAGTGCTGTTTGTACCACCCAAGGACCCCAGATCCCGAGGACTCCAGATCAAACAGTAGAGAGCATGTACTATCTCCAGTTTATAAAGCCAAAAAACCTTTCCAATTTAGAAACTCTGGTGTGTACTGTGAGGAACCCTGGTGGCACAGTGATTAAAGCACTCAGCTGCAAACCAAAAGATCCCATGATTTGAACCCACCAGCCGCTCCATGGGAGAAAGATGTGGCAATCTGCTTCCATAAAGATTTACAGCCTTGGAAACCCTATGAGGCAGTTCTGTTCTGTCCTGTAGTGTCGCTATGAGTCCGAACCAGCTCAGCAACAGTGGGTTTGTTTTTTGGTTTGCTGTGTAGTGTAGCAGGTCAAGAGGTGGAAACCTCTGTAACGCATCTTTTGATGGCAGGGATGGGATGGACACTCATTGTGGTTTAAGTTTTAATCGTCCCTTGTTTGTGCTCTCCATTTCATCTCGTGCTCTCCCTTCTGGTCCACATGGCCATGACCACAGACTACCCCACTCCCCCGACACACTGGGTGGAGAGAAGCTTCAGGAACCATCCCAGCACTTCCTGGGGCTGCTAATGTCATATGCCCAAGGCACCGGTGGTAGTAGGTCGGTGCTGGCGTTTCTTTGTGCCCTGACTTTATTCATGAGGCCACTAGATGGAGCACAAGCATTGCTGGAGGAGCCTGCAGGGCTGGCAGGCTGTTGTCTGTCTGGACAGGGGAGCTGCTGCTCATGGGAGTGACCCCTGGGACCAAGCAGCCCCAGGTGACAGTGCGTTCTCGTTCCTTTGGCCAGGTTCTGAAGACAGCCCACCCAAGCATTCAGGCAACAATGAAAGCCATTCTTCCAGAAGAAGGAACCGACATTCCAAATCGAAAGTCACCAACGGCGTTGGAAAGAAATGAAAGACCTTGGTTAATCAGAGATGTTCCAGAGAGTGCCTAGAACTGAGAAGGAAACGGAACTTGCTTGGACCTCCCTGTCAGGAGGTCCAAACACACAGAGCAAACCGGAAGACGAGAGGGGACTTTTGGGGGGGTCATTATTTGAAAGTGTTAGGTCTTGTTTCCCACAGACCTGGCCACACTGGGCAGATCACAGCCCGGCGTCCTGTGCCAGTTTGGGGTCTCTTCCAGCTTCAGCACCTGGCATGCGGTCACCGGTAACAGTGGGGTGTGTTTGACGGGAAAGGTCGCTGTTCACTCACAGTTGCGCTTGGGTGTATTGCGGATGCGGTTTCAACGTCTTCATTCAGACAAGGCATCAACTGTACCGTTAATGGACTCACTACTGGTTTTTGTTTTTGTGAATCTGCCTTTTCATTTGAGCGATTTATTTAAGGTCAGGCCACGTTTCTGCCTTTGTTGTTGTTACTTGTTTTTAAGTTAGGATGCTTACAAGCCTGCAGAAGCCACTGATGGAATTGATAGGGAGGGCCACTCTCCCTTCTAGATAATAAAAAAAGAAAAGGAAAAAGGAGGAGGCGGGGGGAGAGGCTTTGTGTTATGTTTAGCATCCTAGCTGAGCCCCCTTTTTAAACCTTAAACCACGTGCAGGGTGTAAACCAGTCTGAGGAAAGGTTAGTTACCTGGATAGGATCCTGGGCTTCAGATCTGCACCTGCTTTGTCTCATTCAGAATGGCGTGTGTCCAAGACTGACCCACAGTGCACAAAGTGAGCCTATTACAGGGGCAGCCCACACCACGGCTGCTCACACAGCCAGGTGCCTTGTACATTTGATTTGTTTTCCTTCCACGGTGTGTTGCTGACATTGTCTTTTAGTCACACGTGAGGTGCTGGTGAGTATTACCTTCCATCTGTGCCATGCTGTACAACAGTTACCCTATAGTTCACCACCTCCGATGGATCCCTGTTTAAAATAAAACAGTTCATGTGAAAGCCCATCAAAGGTCTGTGTCTGAGAAGTGCTCATTTCTTTGTATCTTCCTGGTATTTGCCATTGTCTGTAAGCAGTCGCTGTATTTTTCAAGTGGCTTTAGGATGACATGAATGTGTGTGTTAAATACATACCTGTTCGTGCTGTCGAGGCGATGTGGACTTAGAGTGATCCTACAGGACAGAACAGAACTGCCTCATAGGGCTTCTAAAGCTGTAATCTTTATGGAGGTAGATTGCCACATCTTTCTCCAGTGGACTGGCTGGGGGTTTGAACTGCTGACCTTTCAGTTAGCAGCTGAGCACTTTAACCATTGTGCCAGAAGGAAAAAAAAATGTATTTTAGAGAGCTTACAGACACACATGTCCTGTGTCTTAACTTTTCCAAGTAATCAATAGAAGTAAACAACAAGATCTTTTTTTTTTTTTTTACTATGGTAATTCTTACATCAGCCACATTGGATTTTTCCATAACAAGTAGCCACTACCTACTTGATTGACTTTTAGATATAAACTTGCTGAAAGAATCCACTTGTTCCCTCATTTTGCAAAGCACAAAGGTTTCAATGTCTTTCCCCCTTTAAGGAAGTCTTTAACCCTAGGAGTGTCCTGTTTTCCTTTCTCTACAAAAGAATGCAGGAGTGAAGGGGTTAAGTGAATTATGCACAGCCAGGGTCACCTCCTGTGCTGTGGGCATCTGGGTGACTACTTGGTTCGGGGCCACACACACAAACCTGCACCAGAAGCCAGACACAGTCCCAGTGCAGACGCATCTGCAGTCCCTTGGGTCACATGATGAATAAGGGGATTGGCTGAGAGAGGCCACAGCTTTCAAAACAGCATCATTCGCATGAAAGTCCTGGAAATAGGGAAAGAAGTTCGTGCTTCACAAACCTACTTGCACTTTTACAACCCATCAAAGAATGCTTCTTTATACTTTACAGTTGCCTCCAGTCAGCTGACTTCTGGTGACCTGTGTGTGTAGAGCTACACCCCACAGGCTTTCCAGTGGCTGCTTTTCCAAAGCAGGTGACCAGGCCTTCTTTCCAAGGTGCCTCTGGTCAGACATGAACCTCCAACCTTTTGGCTCGCAGTTGAGCTTGTAAACCATTTGCAGTGCCTAAGGCACTTGACTGCTGACCAGAAGGCTGGCGGTTCCTCAGAAGGAAGATTAGGCAATCTACTTCCGTAGTGATACTACCTTGGAAACCTCAAGGAGGGGGTCGCTATGAGTCGGGGCCGACTGGACGGCACACAACAACAACAACAAACACAGTTTTACTTTCAAAGCTGCTGTGTGGTGTAATTGGTAGCTTCTTTGTTCTGCCTGCATTTTGCTTTTCTGAGCACCAACCATTTATATGCATTGTCTTCCATTGTCTCCCCTTCTCCTTGCCTGTGGCCTTTCATTCAGTGTTACCAAGTCCCTTTGCTGGGACGGTTGAGCCTGGCACTCCATCACTTCTCTGATCAATAGCCCAGTCTGACTGACGAGACATGTGCTTCCTTTCTCCAAGGCCACCATGGAGGGAGGCACCTGTTTAGCACAAGGTGATCTGAACTGGACTGTGGAACAGGCAAAGCCCCCGGTACACATGAGACAGTTTTCCTCCATGGCTTTGTATGAACCAGCCCAGAAAGTTCTCAGATACTGCCTATGCCCTTCTGTGAATCTAAACTTTTTTTTCTCCCTATTTCTAAGAGCTCTTGACTATAGTAGTTACCAAACCAGTGCTTCCCATGACTGGCCACTGCCACATAAAAGCCATACTGCTGGGTTTAGCCTACTTTTTCCACCCGTTTCTATGGAAATGGACTTTCCACTAATGGAAATAAATAAATGCTTCAGAGTCATCATTTAATCTCTGAAATGATTTGATTGCAAATTATCTCACGTTCACCATTCGCAAATTGCCCTCTTGAAAGCTACCAAAGTTTTGGACCTAATGAGCGGAGAACGTTTTCTGTGCTCTCCTCCTTGAGCAGCATGGCACTTGAGTGTTGGCTATGTTTTCCTTGTTGCCATTCTTGGTCCTCCCGCGGCCTCTCCCCTGCTTTCCTTGTGTCTGTTTTCACCATCTGTAAATGTCTTGGCCAAACTACTCCCACAGCCAATGCTAGGACATTTCATTGACCCGTTAAGCATTTCATGATAAAAGACTTTCACTAGGACTGCATCTAGAGTGAGCTCGGGAGTAAAGTACTCACCCAGGAGAAATAAAATAAAATTCTTTACCAAGTACATCAAGTTCAGCCTTATTGCTCTTCTTTCAGAAGCCGCTGCGTAGCGTCCTTAAGTGATGTCTCTTTGTGTCGAGGCTCGCCCTTTGGAACTGGACTCCTGGTTCATTTTGTTTGTCTATAATAGTTCACTTGGTCAGGCCCTCACAGGGTCCCTAAGAATAGGGGGTGAGGCTGGTCACAGAAGGGTAAGCTAAACACAAAGTGGAAAAGAAAAAATGTAACCATTGGAAACCAGACACAAGAGAGTACTTTAAACACAGGAATGCAGGGGTACTTGACGGGTGCTCCCTGAAGGCGTTAGGATGCCTGGGTCCAGCACAGTGTTGCCAAGGCAAGCACAGCTTCTCTCCTCCTTGCTGGTAACGATAGCTAGGAATCCCATGAGTACCCTACTGCCGTCCCCAGTATATTTCCCACTTATGTGCTTGACATCAAGATGTAAGGACAGCTAAGATTTCTGTTTCCCACTGCTTCATTATGTAGTAATGCATCTCTTTCTTCGTGTGTGTGTGCACTGCAGGCTTATAGTGGAGATTCAGTTCTTTGCTGAAGTTCTGGGTTGTGCCACCTTGTCACTAAACCATCATCATTAGATTTTTGCAATATTTGCCCTTACCACATTTTACTCCAGACCTCATGCTTAGGGCTACCACGAGTAAAGTTGCAACCTTTTTTTAATTGAACTTTACTATTATCTTTGATGCAATAAATAAATAGGACTTTTTTTTTTTAAACTCTGCTATCTTCTGTGTGGGAGCTCTGGTAGCATAGTGGCTAAGGCACTTGACTGCTAACCAGAAGGCTGGCGGTTCAAACTCACCAGCCACTCCTCGGAAGGAAGGTTGGGCATTCCTACTTCTGTAGTGATACTGCCTCGGAAACCCAAGTAGGGGTCGCTATGAGTCGGGGCCAACTCGATGGCAAACAACAACAACAACAAATCTTCTGTGTATTTAAAGGAATTATTGATTAATGTCTACCAAAGAGGGGGAAACATAGTTGGACGTGAATCCTTATTTGTGGGAATGCTGAATTATAAAAATCTTCCTTGTCTTAGATAATTAAGAAAAACTGCATTTAACCTGTTTCAGGAGTTGCTCTGTGACTCTGTCCTGGCATTTCCTTTCTTGTAACCTGTGGATTTTGAAGCTGCCTGGCCTATGAGAAGATGGTTGTTGCCACACTCTGTAACACTGGTGATGCAGCAGTGAAGCACTCTGCTGCTAACCCATTTACCAGTCCTGTAGGACAAAGACCTGGCGGTTTGCGCCCTTAAAGATCACGGCCACGAAAACGCTACGGGACAGTTCTGCTCATCACAGAAATCGACTTGGCAGCACCACTGTTCATGGGCTTGCAAGAGGTCCACGTAGCTCCTAGACCTCACATGGGCCAGCTTAGTTTACTGGTATTTACTGTTTAGTCAGCTCTGACTCGTGGTGACTTTATGTATAACAAACTGAAATGTTGCCTGCTCTTTAGTTTATATATTGTGACAATCTAATTGAGAACTATTCTCTATGCTCTGTGTACCTGGCTGACTGGAGAGGTGGCCGACAGGCAAGCAATCATCCTGCCTGTAGTCCTGGCAGAAGGGTCTCCTAAGCCCCAGCATGATTGTCTTCTTGGAGCAGAGAGAATGGTGTTAGCAAATCCATTCCTTGCTCATAAGCCCAGTGAGGAAGGAACATCACCCAGGAAACAGAATCTGCTTGAGGGTTTGCTTTCACAGCCGATGGAGCCGACCACCCAGGCTCTTCTGGGCCCACGCTTGTGCCCCTTGTGCCCTGAGTATCGGTTTCCATTTCTTCTTTGCTACTGGAGTGAGCTGAAGACTGGATGCTGCTGAAGTCCTGCAAACTCGTGGGCACCGAGAATGGCCCGCCCTGGCAGGGAGGTTTTCTCTGAGCTGTCAGGCCCCCTGCTCCTCTGAACAGGCGTTCCTGGGCCTCGGATACAGGGGGTCACTGTGTGGAGTGTGTTCCTCCTTCCCAGAAGCTGAGGAAGGGGGCCATGTGGCTTTCCAAACCATGGGAAGTGAGATCTGTTCACCTTTATAAGAGAAAGAGAGTTGAGAAAAACTAAAATCCTGGGTTTTCATGTTGAAGGCATATACACGATAGCCTTCATTACGGTGCCGACTTGCAGGCAGGGTTTATATAACGATCCCTACTGGAAAATCTGGACTGTAAACTTTACTGTTCCCACTCGCCTGACAAAGGGCTGCTTTGGCTCATTCTCATCCGCCTGACGGCATACATCATGGACTGATTAGGTATT